CTCTCCCTCTCCCTCTCCCTCTCTCTCTCTCTCCTTCTGATTAAAACAAAAATAAACTCTTTTAAATAATGGCTTTATATCTTTAAAGCTTCTTAGATAATCACTGAAAGAATAGTGATCTTTTACTTTTTGGCAACAATGTGATGACACATTGTTAAAAACAATTTAAACCTGCTTTTTCAGACAATATAAAATAAACACAATGGAGCCTTGACTCTGTCAAAAATCAACATAGCTTTCATTTCTATGATTCGTAACTTTAGCAAAATATATTAGATACAAATAGGTATAAAAGTAATAAAAGAGTTATTTTTTTAAGTCCTGAAATTTTCTCTTCCCTAACCTCACCCAAATTAATAAACATAATAATTTGACATTTCATTCAGACCAGAAAAAATATCAGTTGCATAATTATTTAATCCAATATCAATGTCACCTAATAGCTAAGCCAAGGAAATAGAAAAATAGGATCTTTCCAAATCTCTTTTTTACATAATACTTTGAATATTATAAAAATATGATATAAGTAACAGAATTCATAGTGATTTCTTTTTCAAGAATGTATCTAAAAATGTGCTCCAAGACTCCCTTAACAAAGAGAGGCAAAAATTTGGGGATCACATTCCAAAAAATAAAAGTAATATTTTTCCAAAGTATTTGCCCTTATTTATTTTGTTTTTCTCCCCCTGCCACCTGAATATAATAATTGTAATAATAATAATAGTATGGATCCCAAGCTTTCCTTCATCTTTTACAAAGACTGCTCCTCAAAGAGGAAGAAAGAAAATGTATAATCCAAATCCATATAGTAATACTTAGCAGTCATAGATGCATTAGCAAAACATTTTCCATTTCTGTGCTGCTCCAAATCTGTGGAAAGCATGTTATTAATTTTTGGGAACTTCATCAGAACAGGATATTTTTTAAAAATGCCCCCCAAAATTTGGCTCCTAGCCTTCCCACCTGAAGAATTGAGAAGTCTCACATTCTTTTTAAGTAGTATTATGGTGATCTTATGTCTCTGCAAGGTTTAAATACAGGTAATCCCAAGTTACTACAGTTCACTTAGTGACCATTCAGAGTTAGACATACCCCCAGGTACTTATCACACAGTCCCAAAGTTAGGAAAGCTATAGCACAGTTGTTCACACCTACGAACAATGGTAGACGCACTGCCACATTCACCCTGCCTATCCCCGCCACAGCCGCCGCCACTCCACGGCCATTGGGCCCGTAGATACTCATTTACCTTGTGATGATCTAGCAAGCTGTTGGTTCTTTTGCCTGCTTTGGTGCATTTGCAGAAAACAGAGGTCTAAAGTAGTGTGAAATCATGCAAGATCTCACCTGATCTCGCTTTAGGCTTCTCTTATCTACCAACCGAGGCATGCACGAGATCCTCAGCAAAAGGCTTTGCAAACAGAGGGAAGGCCTCTTCATTTACAAAGCTTTTTCCTAGAATCTCATGCAGGCCTTGATTCAGAGAGAACAAAGATATAACAGTTCGAGATCACACAAGATTAGTAGCACAAAATCTCTCATTACAGTAGTTTAGGTCTCTGTTCTCTGCGAACTGAGTCCTATACTGCAGTGTTTTTCAACCACTGTGCCGCGGCACACTA